TGCATTGGACTCAATGAGAAGCCCTCCTAATGCGGAACAAAGCCGCAGTAAAATATATTGGAAGACTTTGATAAGAACAACAATTGGAGAAAGCATTGGCCAGACTTGCTTCTACCACCAATCATGGCAGAAACACACTCCATAGCTCCTGACTTGGCATTCATGAATTTTGACACAATAAGGAAACATGGTCACAATTTAATTTCTTTTGTCTATCCTAGGGGTATCAAATTCACATTGTCACGGCAGTGTCACATGATGTATCGGGACTTTTTTTCCCCCTTCGCTAAACCAGATGTGGGCAGAATGTGACGCATCTGGTCCACGGGCTGGGAATTTGACAGTCCTGGTCTATAGCATATGAAAACACTGACTGCCTTTTTCTGGTGAAAAGGTTCTTGGGTTTGTAGAAAAAGAAACTAGCAAGAAAGAAAGTTTACGGTAAAGGGCATTACAAGTGAAAACTAGGCATCACTACAAAGGAATAAAAAGCCAAGTCAAAGAAGAATTAACACGGATTACAATGGAAATACAGGTAATCCTCCACTTACATTGGTTCATTTAGTGACCATTAAATGTTACAACGGCACTGAAAAAAGTGATCTTTGACAGTTATGACCATTGCAGCATTTCTGTGGTCATGTGATCAAAATTTGGATGCATGGTAACTGGTGCATATTTCTGATGGTTGCAGTGTCCCGGGGGTCATATGACTCCCTTTTGCGACCTTCTGACAAGCAAAGTCAATGGGGAAGCCAGATTCACTTAACAATCCTGCTTCTAACTTAACAACTGCAATGATTCACTTAACAACTGTGGCAAAATGGGACAAAACTCACTTAACAAATGTCTCACTTAGCAACATTTATTTTGGGCTTAATTGTGGTCGTAAGTTGAGGAAATTGAGAAATAGCCCAGAAAGTATTCAACAGTGCAAATAAAAAAAGGAAAACAACACCAAAAAATGTCTCTTTCCTACCACACTATGATACTTGCAAAGTTGTAAGTACTTTTTAATTAAGAACAAGTTTACTACCATGAGATAGGAAGATTCTACTTCTCCAAAGGAAATTGCCGACCTCAGTATCACTCAACAAAGAGTTTTTAAAGTTCTAGTTGCCATCAGCCACAAAATACTGGAAGGAATAGTTAGGAAAGGCCACACAAAAATCACTTTTCAGAGATCATTTCAAGCTCTGCAATCTATCTCTTTAAATAGCTTGTCTGCTAGGAATCTTACACATCAGTGAGCTGGATACACATCACATTTTGCCTAGTTTCACAGGCAAGGTTTTTTTTTTAAAAAAATCTGCCTTCTTTTTCCTAAGACACAATATAATACAGGTTTTTTTTAAGGTAGCAGAAATACAGTAGTTTCCCTTCTAGAATATTTAAAGACATTCCAGTCCAACCTGTGATTTAGTCACATTCTTCTCACTTGCTCAAGGCTACAGCCTTCTGCCGAAGCAGAGGATAATACAGAAATTAGTGCTTCAATTTATGGAGAATGCAACCATCTTTCTCTTTCCCCCAATGGCTCATTTTATGCT